CATCCTGGCAGGACAGAAGGGCGCGTCTCTTCTTACAACATAGAAACTGGGTCTTGAGCCAACGTTGATGTTGGCAGGGGAGAGCCTGTGGGACCCGTTTCCTCTGCAGCTGGTGGGAGTGGAGTAAACCAGGGAGAGCCCCTCGCCTACCCCGAGGCCGCAGGCCCCGCAGAGGGACTGGGCGCTGCTCTGGTGGAAGCACTCCTGCCCCAAGGAGGCGCTGACCTGGACCGCGTGCGCTGTCATCCGCAGTGCTGGACAGCGCTGAGGACCTGGACCGTAAGCGCATCTGCCGCATCGTCACGCGTGACTTCCCGCAGTACTTCGCCGTGGTATCCCGTGTCAAGCAGGATAGCCACCTGATCGGGCCCGAGGGCGGCGTGCTGAGCAGCACAGTGGTCCCGCAGGTGCAGGCGGTGTTCCCCGAGGGCGCGCTGACCAAGCGGATCCGCGTGGGCCTGCAGGTGCGGTGCTGGGCGCGTGCGTGGCCAGGGGCACCTTGCGGGGAGGGGACTGGCTGTGGGAACGGGGCGGGCCCGCACAGACATGGTCACCTCGCACTGGAGAGCAGGGGCTGCCACAGCACACAGTAGGTCTCTTGCAGGAGGGCTGAGGACCTGCTCCCTCAGTCCTATGTTGGAAGCTACTGTGCTGACGACGAGACAAAAAGTGCTTTCAAAGATACTGACATGAAGCGCAGTCTGGTGCTCACTCTGCTTTCCTTGGAAAAGGCGCAGCCCATGCACGGCGAGCTGGTCAGGAAGATCCTGGGGAACAAAGCGACCTTCAGCCCGATCGTCACCTTGGAGCCCAGACGGAGGAAGTTCCACAAGCCCATCACCATGACCATCCCCATCCCCAAGGCCGCCAGCGACGTCATGCTGAATGGTTTTGGGGGAGATGATCCGACCTTGAGACTCCTGTGCAGCATCACAGGTGAGGCGCCCGTGCGGTGTGAGTAGAAAGCTCTGGAAGGAGAAACCTACACAGTTGTCAGTGTTAGCACTTTGCCAGAAGGTGCCTGCAGGGCCCGTGCGGATTCAGGAGGAGCATCCCCAGTAGGGAGCAGAAGGCGGCAGGCGATGAGCCACCTGCCGGTACAGCCACAGGCCCCTGGGCAGCGCTCATGGTCGTCTCTGCCTCGCGGCCCTGTGCCCACACTTAGCCCCATCCCCCTGAAAAGGAAGCCAGGCTCCGAGAACTCTGTGACTTCCCAAGACCATACCACAGGCTTGTGCAGAGCGGGGTTCCACCCGAGCCCGCACAGCTGTCGGCCTTCACCAGAGACCGCGTCGTCCACCTGCTGAAAACCATCGTCCTGCACCGCTGCCCCCCGCAGCTCAGACCTGACCTCCGTGTGGGAGTTGGGTCTGCCATCACGGACCTGTGGGGCAGCCTGAGAAAACAGAGTAAAGGTTTTTCAAGATTCACTGAACACGGTCTTTCCCATTGGAAGTTGTGTTAGTGTTCAGACAACTACCAACCTCCAGGGAGACACTCCCAGCCCTTGGTTGTCTTGGCCCCATCACAGAGTGGGAGGTAGAAAGCTCACAGGCATCGTTTGGCTGGAAACGCCCGCCTTTCACAGCACCGCGCACTCTGGGCTCAGCCACGCCTGCCCGCGCTCAGGGGTCAGCTGCCCTGCTCGCCCGCCTGGGGCGTGAGGAAGTTCTCACCTCCCCTCGTGTTGGCAGTTGTATTCTCCCTTATCTTGCTCTCTCTCCAGTTCTCCCTCCTTATTAATGCTTTTCTGTATGCACCATAACAGGCCATGGAGCTTGCCCCATACGTTGAATAAAATGCAAAATACGTGGACTAGCAGGGACGCAGGGGTCACGACCTCGTTACCGCCCCACATTCCTGGGTGCGTTTCCCACGGTTTTTAGTCCATGTGCATACAATTAGCCTCTGTCACATGAGATGTAGCGTGTGGAGGTGAAACAGGTGAGATGTCACGTGCAGGCATGCCCTGCCCTGGCCAGGGGTCAAGCGAGGGACCATGTGGCTGAGGCACCATCGACCTGATTAGACCTCTATGGGCCTTCGTCCACCTGTCCATCAGCCTGGTACTGATGGACAGTTTCCCAAGTACTTTTTTACAACCTTCCATTGCAAACGGAGAGAATTTTTTCTCTTACGAAAATAATTGTATAAAGCATGAAGTTCAGGAATAAAAAACTGCCTGAATTTTTTCATTATTTTAACAAAGCCGTCAGCTCCTTGGTCAGCTAAAGGATCTTTTCAGTTCATCCACCCTGTACAATTCAGATTGATCTTCAGGGCCGACCAACTACAGTAACAGCCTCAGGGAGTCAGGTCGAGGGCAGAACACCTCGACGTTTGAAGCAGCGATTCCGATAACCTTTCAGCTCATTCCTGGGAGGTGCTGTCGGCGCTGCTTCTCCGTGTGGCCTCTCAGCTTCCACGGCCGAGCGCCGGGACCACAGACGCGCTTGACGCTCGGAGGCTGGAGCGCTGCCTCATTTTCCACAATCCTGTTGTTTCAGGCGGGACCACTCCTGCGCAGTGGGAAGACATCACGGGAACCACGCCGTTAACGTTTGTCAATGAGTGTGTTTCCTTCACCACCAACGTGTCTGCCCGGTACGTCCCGCCCTCAGACCAGCCCCACCCCCAGAGATTTTGCTTTTTCTTTTGTTTCTATGTTCTTTAAAAGTGAGTTTTTCTGGTTGGTTTTAAGTACAATCTATATTAACTTTCATATTTTAAACGGGGCCTGCTTGCCAGCGAAGTGAATAGCGATGATACAGTAACAAGGCTCAGCCAGTCGGGTTGAAATCTCAGGACAGTCAGTGATGGGCAGCTCTGCCTGTGGGGCCGGCCTCCCGGAGTGGCCACCACGATGGTCCAGTCCCAGAGCCTGGGGGATGGTAGATGCCCTGCTGCCCAGCGCATCCTGAGCTGCTTCCCAGCAGAATAGCAGGGGTCCGAGAGCACATGCGTGTACAGGTGGGCTCGAGGTCTCGGTGACCAGGAGGCCTGACCCGTGTGTGTCTGTGTCTCGCATCCTCACCGCAGACGCTGTTCAGTCTTGTTTCACGTGCTCGCTCACTCTCTTTACCATCAGCTCCCGTGTGTGACCGGCAAGGGAATGCTGGGCGCTTCCCCACGCGTTTCATTTCATCACTACAGTGACTTGGTACTGTGTCCACTTTACAGATGGGAAAACAGGCTGAGAGGGTTAGAGCTTAAACTCCTGTTCAGGGGACAGAGCAGAAGGGCACACACGGGCAGCAGCTGGGGTGCTGGCCCCGCTGTCGCTCCAGAGATGACAAGTGCTGAGGGGAGGGTTAAGGGGCCCTGCCGGGTGCAGGGGCTGTGCACGTCGGGGCAGAGAGGGCGCCCGAGAGGAGGTGCCTCCTGCGACATGCAGGAGCCTGACAGGCAAGAGAGAGGACCATGGACAAGACACAGCAGGGTGGGGGCGAGCAGCAGACATCTGAGGTCGGAGGTCAGACCAGAGCTGCCACGTGGCTGCGGCAGTGCTAAGGGAGACCTGCTCGGGAGGCCAGGCCGCTCCTGTGTCCCGTGTTCCCCATGTCACCCCCCGACGACGGAGGGAGCAGTGAGCACCATGAGTGAGTCTGAGCAAAGAGGACGGGGATGGGAGCGCCGCCAGGAGCCAGCGGCAGAGCTGGGCCCTGAGAGCGTGACGCTGTGGGAAGTAGCCGGACGTTCGCACGTGCGAGGTCCCAGAATAGGCGAGTGCACGGAGACGGGGCAGTTAGCAGTCAGGGTTGGGGGGCCTTGTTCTGTCTGGGGAGACGGAAAGTGGCGGAAATGGTCAGTGATGGCAGCCAGGGATGTAAGTGTAATAGTGCCAGTGCGTGCGCACTTCGGTGTGGCCAGCATGGCGAGTCTTATGTTATGTGTATCTCACCAAATGCTAATAGAAAGGGGAGAGGTGGACGAGGGACAGGAAGGAACCAGTGACGAGGGAAAGGGGACCTCAGGGGCATGGAAAGATGGCGGGAAGGAGCCGAGGGGAGGAGGCAGTAATAGGCCGAGCGAGGTTTCAGGGTGACAGGGTGACTCTGTGCATCTGGCGGCCTCAGCTTTCTCAGCAGAATGGTCCCTCCTCAGGGGTGCGGGGGGTGGGGGTCGGGGAACGCTGGGCAGGCTCAGCAACCTCAGTGCCCTGAGCAGTGACACTGAGGGGACATGGCCCGGCCGTGTCACAGGCCCATGAGGCCACCAGCCAGGGAGGAGCACAGAGCAGTGACTTCCTCTGGGAGCCATGCCCAGCACCCGCGAGTTCTGCCGAGAAAGCAGGTTTCCAAATGGTTGGGTTGATCCACCTCGGTGGTGGGAGAGTTTTGGAAAAGAGTAACACGATGAAACGCCGGGTAGAGTTTATTGGAAGAGTTTCGGGATATGAGAGGGAGATTGGGGGCATCAGGGGGAACAGGGCTCCCGCATGAGGACCCATTGCGATGGCCCCAGGCTCCCTCCACAGACGGTGCTGGGACTTGGGGCAGATTTCAGAAGCTGGACCCTGGGAAGCGTTTCCAAGGAAGAAAATCACAAATACGGGTCCAGTGGTTGGCGGTGCACAACTGGTCCTCAGTGCCCTCCTGCTCGCTCTGCCCACCCGTCTCATCATCTCCCACCTCCCTGTTTCCAGGAAGCACTTAATGACTTCGATCATATTGAAGGAACTGAGGGTTTTTTTCAACTGGTGTCCATTAATTCAATTTTTTTTCAAAGATTTTTAAAAATTTGTTTTAATTGATTTCATAGAGGACGGGAGAGAGAGAGAGAGAATGAATCATTAATGATGAGAGAATCATCAGTGATGAGAGAATCATTGATCGGCTGCCTCCTGTACGCTCCACACCAGGGATGGAGCCCAAAAACCTGGGCACGTGCCCTGACCAGGAATTGAACTGTGACCTGGTTCACAGGTTGACGCTGATGCTCAGCCACTGAGCCACGCCGGCCGGGCTGGTGTCCATTGGTTTGGATGCCTGACCTAAAATCCTTTGCAGGTTCTGGCTGATCGACTGTCGGCAAATCCAGGAGTCCGTCGCCTTCGCCTCCCAGGTGTACAGGGAGATCATCTGCGTGCCGTACATGGCCAAGTTCGTGGTGTTCGCCAAGTCGCATGACCCCATCGAGGCGCGGCTGCGGTGCTTCTGCATGACTGACGACAAGGTGGACAAGACCCTGGAGCAGCAGGAGCACTTCGCGGAGGTGGCCCGCAGCCGGGACGTGGAGGTGCGGGTTCCAAAGCAACTCATGACACGTCGTCTGTGCCTTTCTTCTTAGATTACACGTAAAGCAGTGGCTAGTAAATAGAACCACAAGATAAAAAAAGACCAGTCCTCCTCCTGGTCAGTTAGGAGGTCAAGGTCCAACGTGAGCTCTTCCTAGTCCGTCTGGGCCAGTCCTGTCAGGATCGTCTCAGCCTCCGTCCTGAGAGGAGGAGGGAAAGGGCTCTCTCACGGAGCATCATGGGGGAGGAGGACTCGGCGATGAAGTGTGTAAGCGGCGGCAGCAGAGAAGGCTTGTCTTTCCTCATTCGGAGTAACTTTCAGTGGTGAGGACAGCGGTCAGGAAGGGCCCCCTCGGGGTCAGTGTGGACGTGAGCCGCCCAGGCCGCTGCATCACTCCTGCTGACTTTAGGCCTCGTCATCGGCGTGGGTGTGGACGGTGAGGTCAAGTAGTGTGACTCAGTGGATGTAAAACGACCCGATCAGAAGGTGGACTTCAGCAGTTAAAGCTCTATCAGTTTGGGGGCAATGTTAGAAACGGGGGCGTCAGCATCAGAGGCCACCACACCTGCAGGTCCCCTAAGGACATGCTTTGTCCCGGGGGGACAAGACATACCAACTGAGTGATAGTTGTAGGCAGGTCTTAACATTCCAACAGGGATCACCAGTCCTTTATGTAAATAACAGGTAATAACTGCACTTACTATAGTCTGTGCTGCTTTTTCTGCCTCACCAGGTGCTGGAGGGAAAGCCCATCTACGTTGATTGCTTTGGCAATCTCGTGCCATTAACCAAGAGTGGCCAACATCACATATTCAGTTTTTTTGCCTTTAAAGAAAACAGACTTCCTCTCTTTGTCAAGGTAATTATCTATATGGAATTTTTACGTACATTTTATTCTACATCAAGTCAGGTTTAACTTCCTTTAGAAGGAGAGGATATTTGCTTTTCAATCATTTTCAGCGATTATTTAAACCATATCTATAAAATGTTAAAGTTCTGGAAAGCCAACCATTTTCATTTTTGAAGTTCAAATTCAACTTTAAGACTATATTTAAGGACAAACAGCCAATTCATTAATTAGAAAAACTGGCTTTTTCAAATTTTAAAGGAAAGCCTCTCTCTTTAAAGTGTTGTTGTTCCTTTTAAATCTCTGTGCTGAAGTGATTTAAATGTGCGAATGTCACCAGCGAGGAGAGCAGAAGTCTCTCAAAAGGCCCAGGAGCCCCTCAGCCTGATGTGCGATGCCCCGGGCCGGGCTCGCCGGGCCCCCTCCACACAGTCACTCAGCAGCCGCCAGAGACACCTCGGTGCACATGGACTCCCTGTCTGCTTCAGACCACTCGTCCTGGGCAGAGCTTGGCGATGATAATTACGTCTCCCCCAGATTCCACGCCTAAGGGGGACAAGCACGTATAAATGAGAGGCTTGTGAAGTAGGAAGGAAGTAATAATTCCGGTCCCCACTGTCTCTCACCACTCACTGTCCCGTTGCCCACAGAGCGTTGCACTTCTCTGGAGGCCCCCATGCCCCGCCCACTCAGGACAGGACGGCGCTGGGCTCCCTCGCTTTCCCCAGTCCAGCTTCAGGCGACTGATTCCCAAGCAGTTCATCTCTTACCCTTTTATTGCCAAACCCCTCCTGGTTTCTCCCAGCACACATCTGTTCAGCTGCTTGATCTTTTTAAAATATTTTTTATTGATTTCAGAGGGGAAGGGAGAGAGAGAGAGAGAGATGGAAACATCAATGATGAGAGAGAATCATTATCAGCTGCCTCCTGCACGCCCCCTACTGAGGATGGAGCACGAAACCCAGGCATGTGCCCTGACCCGGAATTGAACCTCCTGGTTCATAGGTCGATGCTCAACCACTGAGCCACTCAGGCTGGGCAACCTGCTTAATTTTTTAGATCAATTGAGTTCTCCCAAGATCTCTGCTGAGCCTCTCATGGTGCCATGGCTGGTCACCAGTTTTGCCTGATGACAGCTGTCCTGCAGGCCACTCCATGGAGCAGGAACTGCTGAGGGCGGCAGAGCACTGAACAGACGGCTGTGTGATTGAACTAACGTTTGGTACCATCGCTGTGCAAGCACCATTTATAAACAACCCCGTACAGAAATGGGGGGAGGACCTGGGTAGACATTTCTCCGAGGAAGGTGTTAGGTGGCCAGTTAGCCCATGAAAAGATGCTCAGCAAAGTCATATTCCAGCCACAGTGAGACACTGCTCCGAACCCATGAGAATACTGTTACCCGCACAACGGGAACTGGTGTGGGTGAGGCCGGGTGAGAACGGGGGCCGATGTGTAGCTGGTGGGAAGTCACAGGCTGCAGCCCCCTGGGAAGCAGTGTGCAGTGCTCAGCGTGAGCCATGGCGACCGCAGGTCCAGGGACTGTACTCCTCGGTCTAGCCCCCAAAGGACTGGGCGGGCACGCGGTTACTTTCCCGCTGATGCTCATGAAAGCATTATTCGCCCAAACATGGAAACATCTCGAATATCCATTTGCAAATGAATGGACACACCATGGAATGTTATTCAGCCTTAAAAGGCAATGAAATTCTGACACATGCTACAACACGGATGGGCCTCGAAGACATATGTTGGGTGGAATTAACCAGGCACAAAGGACAGACATGGTCTCAGTCCATCTCTCCGAGGTCCCGGAGGAGGCAAGTGTAGAGGCAGGTGGAAGCGAGTCCCCGGGGGCTGGGCAGAGGAGGGGGGCAGTCCCCGGGGGCCGGGCAGAGGAGGGGGGCAGGAGTCCCTGGGGGCCGGGCAGAGGAGGGGGGCAGTCCCCGGGGGCCGGGCAGCCACCATGGAAAATCAGAGAGAGGAGGTGGAAGCGAGTCCCTGGGGGCCGGGCAGAGGAGGGGGGCAGTCCCCGGGGGCCGGGCAGAGGAGGGGGCAGTCCCCGGGGGCTGGGCAGAGGAGGTGGAAGCGAGTCCCTGGGGGCCGGGCAGAGGAGGGGGGCAGCCCCCCGGGGCGGGGGCAGAGTTGGTACTTGGGATGGTCAACATGCTGCAAAGGAGTGACGATTGCACAGCTGGGTGAGTGCCTGACGCCACGGACTGCACTTACACACGGTGAGTGGGAAAGGTGAATTTTGTTCATGTTATTTTACCACACTTCTTTAAAAAGCTGAATGATTTTAAAAAAACAGTTGTAAGTTGTAAAAGGACAGGGAGACAGGAGCAGCCTCGAGCCCTTGCTCGGCTTCTCAGATGCGTGTCTGCCCCCCCAGTTCTTTGGGGAATCGTCTCCTTAAAGAAGCCGCCTGCGTCCTGTGTGGTGACACACGTGCCTTTCTTGTCCAAGGTACGAGACACGACGCAGGAGCCGTGCGGACGACTGTCATTTATGAAGGAGCCGAAGTCCACGCGAGGCCTGGTGCACCAGGCCATCTGCAACTTGAACATCACGCTGCCTGTGTACATCAAGGTACCGAGAGGCGCTGCGTGCGGCTCGGGGTGGGGGGTGGGGGGTGGTCTGCCACCCAGGACCGTGCACAGCAGGGGCCTCGTGTGCACCCCAGGGAGCAGTCATTTTGGGTTCCTTGTCAATCCGTGAGTTTCCATGGAAGTCAGAACAAAAGACGCTCCACCTTATTTCAGATCCAATTCATTGTGATGAAAAATGTCTATGAACGCATACTGGATACAGAAGACAGAAATGTTTAATTTAAGATTTCACTTTGTGGACTAGTTTTTAAAAAGCAAATAACTGACTTCATCCTCATTATTGCTGTTGTGTGCCCTCCTGGGACCATGCTGGGGCCTCTGGTACCCAAACCTGTTGGGCCATTAGCTGTGGTTCTCCGCCAGCTCATAGGTGGGTTCTAAATACCGCAGGCAGAGCAACCTCATGACTTTGTGTCTTGTTGCTAAAATAAGTACTGTTCAGTTTATTTATATTTTTTAAATATATTTTTTATTGATTTCAGAGAGAAAGGGAGAGAGAGAGAGAAACATCCATGATGAGAAAGAATCATCAGTCGGCTGCCTCTTGCACACCCCACACTAGAGATCAAGCCCACAACCTGGGCGTGTGCCCAGACTGGGAATCGAACTGTGACCTCCTGGTTCATAGGTCAACCATGAGCCACGCCAGTCAGGCATCACCTGTTCATTTTATAACCTGTGATATCTTAGGAGTCTCAAATTAATTTTTCAACTGTTTTAACATGATTAGTATACAAAACATTTCCATGTTCCCAGGAGCAGATTTGAGACATTGTTGCAAAGGAAACATTCATTCATTCCTGCCCCAGGTCCAGCTACATCTGGGTCTAACTCTGCAGGCAGGCCTCTTCCCGATGCAGATTGTCTATGATGACTCCTGCTTATACAGAAATATTCTTGATTACTCTGTCAAGCCAAGGAAGACAGCTGAATGAATTACATGTTGGGAATAACTTTTTTAATTTAAAAATAGTTTAACCAGTAGCCCTTCCTCATGGGAAGCCCACCCGGCCATGCCCAGTAGGCTGCGGCCTCTTGTCAGGCAGTGTGTCCGAGAGGTGGGGACAGGGTGCAGTGGGGTGAGCCCTGGCGGAGGGAAATATGTTTAAAGTCCTACATTGGACTCCACAAAACAAGCACTTCCTATACTGCTTTTTACCTGCCATCTGGTTTCCTTACCGAATGATTCCTGTAAACACAGATCAGTCACGTAGAAAAGCTCACGACATCGTGTGCAGCATTGCAACTTCTTATTTGATAAAAATAAATAAATCTTATTTTCCTGTGAAGATAATGAGCTGTGACTCTGAGTTCAGTGAGCCTTCAGTGTGCCGTGAAGAAAGCATTTGCTTTATTTATTTTAATATTTTTATTGATTTTTTAGAGAGAGAGGCAAGGGAGAGAAAGAAGTATCTATTGGCTGCCTCCTGCATGCCCCCTACTGGGGATTGAGCCCACAAACCTGGGCATGTGTCCCGACCTGAATGGAACCTGCAACCTTTTGGTGCACGGGACTCCGCCCACCACCTGAGCCACAGCCAGGGCTCGCTCACCTGTTGTCACAGTGTCCGGGGCAGACACGGTGCTGATGCTGTGACGGTCCAGGGCGGCTTTCCGTTCAGTCATAACGCGAAACAGAAGTATAAAGAGCCAGACAGCTGGGCATCAGAATCTACTGGTGCTTATAGCCCTCGAACTCCGACATGCTGCCCCTGTGTCAGGACGATACTCGCCACACGCTGCTCTGTGGCTCTCGCCTGTCCAGCCAGCACCGTGCCCTCCAACCCATGAAAGGTCCAACTTTGAGGCTGCCGGCGACCTAGCGTCTGAAATGAGTGTCTTTGTAATTTTAGTTCCTTTGTGTCTCGAGTCTCCAGACTTGTGAGTTTAAATCACCCCTTTCTAGCTTGTGCGCCTCTCCGCTGAATGGTTAGAAAAGTCAGAGTGCCCTGACTGAATGCTGCCCGCCCGTGCCGGGCGGTTCTTCACCTTCCCTCCTAAACTCTCTGCTCTTTCCCATCCCGCATGGTGCCTGGCGAAGGAGTCGGAGTCGGATCCGGAGCAGGAGGAAGAGGTAATTGTGTGACCCTGTCGCTGACCCATCAGAGTGCTGGTGCCCTGCGTTCTCGGGCCGTGGCCCGCCGCCCTGAGCCAGTGAGGACAGGCGCGCTTCCCTGGAGAACGTTGCCCCGTCTTTGCCACATGCCTACTTCTCTACCCACCGCTGAGGCGCCCCGTCATCTCGGCGGTTCTCACAGGCTGGCTGGCAGAGACCCATCTCCCGGTCGTATAGCCCGGGGCCCTTACTCACCTCTCACCGCAGGGGCCTCCGGGGCCACCTCACCTGATGCCACCCGCACGGACACTCCAGGATGTGTGCGTGGTCCTGGTACACGTGTCCTTGGGTCCCAGCATCTCCTTAGCTCCATGTTTGTAACACATGTTCCTTATCCGAGTCAGACACGGACCACAGCTCCTCAGACTCCTGGGTTGTTTGTCAGAGTTCAAGGGTCTTCAGGCCAGAAAGTCCAAGAACCACTGAGACCAAAACTGGGGAGCCTGTCGTTCCCCCGTCGGGATGGCAGTGACGGGGCAGGGGGTGCGCGTGAGCCGCTGGCAGCTCCTCCTGGTGCCCCAGCAAAGCAGGGCTGCGCCTCCCACCGCAGGGAGGCAGCGTGGCTCGGAGACGGTGCAGGAGTAGCCATTTCAGTCACACCTGCTCCTGCAATCCAAGCTGGGGGGGTGTCCCTTGTAGAAACCTGAAAACGCCCAGCGTTACCGTAGAAATGAGAGAGGTCACTGGGGAAGCCTGTACTTACCGAGGAGCATAAGGGTTCTGTCTCTAAGACAAGTGTGGTTGTTAGTAGTTGCACGTTAATGTTTTCAAATATACTAGTTTTATTTTCAATTTATTCTGATGGATTTGAAATGCAAAAATAGAAAAACGTAATACATGCCATTGTACCCACCTGCTGA